GATCACGCCGGGGACCACGACGACCTTGTCTTCCGCCTCTCTGCCTCTGCCTCTGGAATCTGTTCCTCTGGGCTGGTACGTGACGGGAGCTGGAACTCGTTGGGGACAATCCCGGGTGGCATGTCCCACACGATTGCAGGTGTAGCATCTTGGCATCCTTGGAGCGTAGGTCCTTCCTCGGAAGGGGCGTCTAGCTGGAGCTCTTGATGCGGGTGGTCCTCTCAAATGTGGTGTGGCTAGCATGAATGCCTCTTCTTCAATTAAAAGTCTACAGACATTGTCCACTGTGCGTTGAGCAATTGGGACTTGGTTAATTTTTGTAACAGCATCTTTCCATTCATAATTCAAAGAGTTAATAATGATGCTGATCATTTGAATATCTTCAATGTTATGGCCTCTTTCTCTCAATTCTGTTCTCAGACCTTTCAGTTTGGTCAAATGTCCTCCAATTTGTTCACCAGGTTTCAATCTCGAACCGTGGAGTTCAGACATTTTTAGTTTTGACTCACCAGTTAGTGGAGAGAGAGAAAATGCCTGGTAAGGAGCCTGCACTTGATATGCTGGCTGTGCTGGCAGAGGTATTTGCTGTGCCTGTTGTGGACCTAAAAATGGTCTTGGTTGTGCCATTGGAGGCGGACCAGGAGGTGGCCCTATTTGCACTTGTGGCTGGGGCACATATGCAGGCATTTGTAGCTGCTGTGGCTGATGCACTGGAATCTGCTGTATTCCAGTTGCCATTTGTGCTTGATCTGCAATATTGGCATGACCTGCTGGAGATGCAGTCATTTGCCTTTGCTGTGTTCCATCTAAAAGGACACCAACACCGCCAGGGGGTGTTTGAGTTTGGGCCTGTGGAAACACTTGTGGCATTTCAGCTTCCTGTAGTAAATTACTTTTGCCAGCAGATGGTGCTGCACCTTTGGGCAGCTTTGCATACGGGGCATTGTATGCTTTAGAGTAGGAGTGGTTATGTAAGACATGTGTAACTTGATCAGGGAGACTTTCATGTGACGTATGCAGTGCTCTTTGCCTTAATTGGCCTGACACAAAATCCACCAGGGGGAGTGTCTTTGGCTCTGAGCAAGAAGACAATATGGCGCTTTTTGAAAAATTTAAGTTATCTCCCATATCTTGCTCAAGCATAGATATAGCCATTTTTGCCTGGGATAGCTGCTGTTCATAGAGTTTTATACGGTCACGATAGGCTTTCATAGCATTCTCACGCTGGGTGAGCTCAGGGCTTTGAGAAGAGTAATGAATTGTTTCTCTCTGTGCGTGGGAGTAATTTTGCTCAGCAGTGCTTGCACCGAGCGTTACAAATTCAGAAGGTTCTGGGGAGACTTTTTCAGAGCTTGGAAGATCAGAAGAAAATGTTACTGACCTCAGTCGTAAATCATCATCTTCAAAAACAGCTTCTGTCTTATCTCCGTCCATTTCTGTTCCCACGGCTTCTTCTCGTTCCAGGCGTGTGGCTGTAGTAAGGGGCTGGAAATCTGGAAACCTCCTGTCTGCCACCTCTTCGTTGGAAAGATCAATCAAATCATTTACGAAGAGTGGTCTTGGTTTCACTTTGCCTTTTTTTCTTCTGTTTCGGCATCTCAGCAATATAATTAGCGTACCTCAGTAGCTAAAAACTAATTGCCTATGCGCTCTTATCAGAAGTAACAAAAACAAGGAAAAAGCCATAAATCAGACCATCCTCGTGCTACCAGAATGTCAGGGCATTTATTAATCCCATGTTTGGCTCTGGGACTAATTACCCTGGTTTAAAGGAGGAGATGAATCGAGGCTTATTCCAAGTTGCACTATTCTGATAAAGAAACGCGAAGGAAGGTTTCTAATAAAACTCATTTATTTGTTATAAAGAAAATAAAACACCTCACTAACTAAGAAAAGTTAATTGTTACATTTTTGAAAGTAATTCGGGCCGGCTATCTTTCAGCCGGACCTTGCTGGAAAGAGAACAAGGAAAGAGGATGTGTGAAGAGCAAGTGAAGGAATGTGGGTGGATACAGAAACACGTAGCTTACTGATGAGAAGTTGGCAAAGCTACGGAGAGTCTGACAGTCCAGAAATAATGAGCTCAGCTGGTAAATAAAATAACGCAGTGACATGCGTACACAAAAATGAAACCATGGAGCTCCATTTTGGGCTGCAAAGTCTTTTTGCAAAGATGACAAAAGGCTTTGCAAATGGAGGGAAAGCTTTGATGTTTCAGGCCTTCCTTCCATTTGCAAGTCTTTTGCTGCAGATCTCATCCAGGCCTTCATTTGCAGAAAACAGAGGCCTATAGTACTGTGAAACCACAAGAGATCAATAGTGTAAGATTTTGCGCTACTGATCTTGCATGATCTTGCAGTACTTTAGGCCTCCATTCTCTGCGTACTCACTGAAGGCCTGAAGTGCCCAAACAGACTAAGAAAGTGAAGAATCTCTAGATCTTCGCAAAGTGAGTACAGTATCCAGAGACCTAATGCCTATGAAGACCCAGCGCGGGGGGGCGGGGGGAGAGGGGAATAGGCAGGGTGAATGTTGCAGAGCCTCTGCGGTCATTTGTAAAGGTGAACAACTGCTGTGGTGCTGCAACATTCTTAGTTTCGGGACTTGTTTGTAAACACTAGGGAGCGTTCATCACATAACTTTGAACATTGGCTAAGGCGATGCTCGTAACCCAGGGATTAGCTGTAGATAAAAAACATTTTAAATACATTTTTTCAAGATTATAGAAAACATCTTGGAAAATAATCCAAAAATTATCTAGGAAGAGTTTATTTTGGAGTTATTGGAGATTATTTGAACTCACTCAGCCTTCTTATAATTTTTACTTTAAAAAATCTGTTGCAACAAACATTGTTTGCATACATTGAAGAGGCAAACATTCCCAACACTTTATGCTGAATCAGAAAAAATCAGAAAAACAAGTGATTAGGTGTGGATACTGTCGCTTGTAAAGCTAGCTTTAAAAAAAAATTCTAAGTTTTAATTAGTTAGGACATTGTTCTGCCCTAATACAGCACAGCCTCCATAGATTCTTTTTTTTAATAGTTTCTATATGTATTGTTCCTTGCTTGTCTGTGATATATTTTGCTTTGAAAGAGGTTCAGGGAAGGATTTCAAACTTTTTATGATATCTGATTAAAACTTTGCAGGTTTAATGTTGTTTGAAGAATATGGTGGTACTTGTGCTCTCTGAGCTTGGTTTCTTTCTTTCAGACATTTCATTACCCAACTAGGTAACATCATCGCTGTTAGAAGGGAATAGGGATTGCTCTCTGTTTATATACTAGTGGGTTGCTCTGTCAGTGTTGGTGGGAGTGTTCTTGGGGGTTCTTTGATTAGGCTGTTAGCTTGTTTGCCTGAGTTGGTAGTTCCTTGATTGGGATATTGACCCCAAAGTTCAATCCTGAAAGTATCAGAAGTATTAGACAACCAGGCTTCTGCATGGGCTCCTTGCATTGTGTATAAAGGATACCAATTGATATCAACATAGTAAGTATACATATATACTGTACATATCTTGCATACTAAGAATTTTGAAATGTGGCCTAGCATAGTAGCATATGACCTTCTTCCATTAAAGTTTCGGATCTATTCTTGTGAGAAAAGTCTGCTTACCACCTTCTTTTTTTCTTAGCTATATTTAGAAACATCAGTTTCAACTGACCTGAAGAAAACTTGCTGCATTCAATTAAATTCTTTCTCAGTATGCCTTATATTACACAGTATGCTGTTTTGAAGATTTTCAATACAATCTTGTTAACTTCCTGTGCTCTAATACAAATTTACTCTGTAACCTGGTAAAATATCTGTCTTATTTTTCTTTCCCTTTATCTTCATAAAGATGATGCTTAATACCATATGTTCATCCTGGGGTTAGAGAGCCATGATTCATAAGTGACATTTGTTCTTGTTCTCCAGCTTCAGTTATTTTTAACAATTCCAGTTCTGATGCAAAATTATGTAAAACCAAGGCCATATGGGAACAGTTTCGCTCAATAATTTTCTCCAGATCTATGTATTGATAAAAATCGTCGCCTTTTTTTTAAAAGAAAGCCATGTATTTTCTGACATTATAGAATTGAAGTTAGAATTTATCACGATTTTCTCTTGCTCAGTAAAAACTTACTTATGATATTACTAGAATTAATAGAATATTCTGTAGTTAAAACTTGGTATTCATTGCAGGATTTCTGTTATCTGTACATATGTTCTTTAGTTTTTGCTAAAAACAGTTATACAATTCAGCATGTTTTAGAACATAAAACACTTTTTACTGTTTGGAATGGATATTTGAAGTTTTATTTGTTATAAAAACGTTGGGTATTTGAAAATCAGGCCAGACTTACCATAGTATAAAACATGACAGTACTCATGTCCAAAGAGAACTGAAGCAAATTTATAATATTTCTGTACATTCTCTTCTGCCCATTTGCCAATTGGTGGTCTAACCTACATTGGTTTTGGCTGACTTAGTACTTATAAAGATCGGTTGATTTCATGGTAACTATAAGACTGTAATACATAAGTCATTATCATTCTACTTATATCACGTAAATATTAGTCACTTAATAAAATTAAGAACGCATTAATTTTTTTCAACTCCCAGAGCTCTCTCTTAGTTCAATGTTAGTGAATTCCTAACATCTTTATCTGCGTTAGATGTGATAGATATTGTGATAAATGAATTTTTATTAAAAAGTGTTCATAGAATATTTAATTATTATTCTTATATATCAGATGTACAGAGATAGGTGCTTTAGTTATGGAGCCATTCGGCCAGATTTTGAAAGAAAATATTTTTTCAGTAGGACACAACAGAATAGGGTAACTATTAAAACACTCATGTTGATTTGTTATGTAAATGAATAATATATCTCTTCTTTCAGTTAATATATGTTAATCTCTATTTAAAAATTGATCTCATTTTTAAAGGAAGGTACATACCTGAAAGGGAAAAAAATTTTAGAGTTGTTTTTTCATTATTCACAAGCCAGTTTGAATAGGTTCAAGGTATTAATTGAACAATAAATCCGGTTTTCCTTCTCTTCCCTTGCTGCCAACCTATTCTCCACAGCACCTGAAGGCAGGACAAGAAGCAATGGATGGAAATTAATCAAGGAGAGAAGCAACCTAGAACTAAATTTCCGGACAGTTACAACAATTAATCAGTGGAATAGCCTGCCTCCAGAAGTTGTGGATACTCCAACACTGGAGGTTTTGAAAGAAGAGATTGGATAACCATTTGTCTGAAGTGGTATAGGGTCTACTGCTCAAGCAGGGGGTTGGACTAGAACATCTCCAAGGTCCCTTCATTAACTCTGTAATTCTGTAATGTAAAGAAGAAGCAATCTTCCTCATCTTGGTGCTATATAAATATGTTCAGCTTTCACAATTTCCTGCCAACATGGCCTCCGGTGTACCAGCTAAGAATTATGAGAATTGAAGTTCAATACGCTGAAGATTACTAGGATAGAAATGTAATGCTGTATATCTCTGCTTGCAGTAAAGCCATGTTGCCAGTTAAATCATTAATTTTAACAACATTGCATTTTTAAATTAATTTACGGTGAAAAACAGATTTATGCTTGTATAAATTTTCTTCTCCTAAGGCGGGCACGGCAGTCAGGATGGGTGGAGACACGGAGTGAGTTGTTAGGACCGAGTCTGCTTGAAACCAACGAAGCCCCGCCTCCTTGCTTCCACTGTCAGTTTTTTCGACTCGGTCGAGTAGGACGGTAGTGTCTAGAGACTTCGCTCACCTTTCGTGCTAATTTGAAGGCTAAATCACTTATTTTACAGCCCCAGCGTTATTGCTTGCTTCCTGTCACCACGGAGAACTGGTAGGTGGTTGAGCTGCCGGCTGGCAGTTCTTTGAATACCGCAGTAGACTTTCTCTTCTTGCCGCCGGAGACTTCGGTCAAATTTTTTTCCGGCTTTCGCTGCGAATCGGGCTTTGCCCTGCAGCAAGGAGGCTACCTAATTGCTCCGCTAATCGCTCGATCACGTTTCGCCCTTCGGCTAGCGATCTTTCTGCGGCTCTTGTCTTTGGAACTTGAAGGAGCTTGGGTGTCTTGACTGGAAGGCTAGCGCAGTAAGTGTGCCATAAGCGGGGCGTTTTAAAGGGAAATAATTTCGGCGCCATTTCGAATCCCTCTAATATCATGGCGGACGCCATTTTGAAGACCGCTTCCCGCGCTCATAAGAGCAAGGGAAAAAGAACCCAGGAGCCCGATCCTGAAGAAGGGCCTTCGGGTATTCAAAATAATAAAAAGGCCAAACATCATAGGTCTTCCAGGGTGACTGAGAAGCCTCCTCCGTCATCCTCTAAGCACTCTAAAGATGAGGAGAGGCGTCACAAGGCAATGGAACGAGCCTTCCAAAAGGCTTCTTCTCATCAGGCCTCCGTTCCTCAGCCAGCTACTGCACCTTCAGGAACAGGGCAAGAGGTTTTACGGCAACCTCCTAGTGTGCCTCCTCTGTCTCCCGATAGGTCCCTTCAGGAGGATGTTCCTTCCTTCACGGAGGCAGCCTCAGTTTTCCCAACTGTACAAGAACAGGCAGTTCCTGACCAGGGCCCAGATCTGCTCCTTCAGGGGGAGGTTCCTCAAATTGAAGCCCAAATTAAGGCTACTGCCCCTGCGTCCTCTAATTTGGAACAAGTCCTATCTCCAGCTTTGGCTTCCCTAATTGCGGATTCGATTGGAAAGGGCATAGCCCAAGGGCTTCAGGAAAGGGCTTCCTCACGGATCTCAGAATACCTGGAAGATCAGGCCTCCTCACTTAGATCCCAACCCTTGGATGGGAATTCCCAAGGGCAGGAAAGACAAAGGTCTCCTTCTCGGGACAGTCAAAGCTCTATCTCTCTGGAGGAGGAAGCTATCATTGATCAAGAGTTATCGGAGGATGAGGGCCTAGAGCCTGATCAGCCCTCGTTTGTGGGTCTATTCTGCCCTCAAATGTTCCAATCATTATTATTTAAGGCACAAATGACCACTCGTTTGGGAATCCCCACTTCTAAGCCCAAGGATTCTTCCAATATAATTGATTCCATGGCTAACCTATTTGAAGAGCCCGCTGTGGCGGCCGAAACTATCCCGGCTCCCAAATTGTTTTCCGACGTCCTACAGAGGCAGTGGAAATTTCCTAGTTCTGGCCCCTCACCAAATTCTCTCGATAAAAAATTCTATAATTTGGCTTCAGAATATGCCAACCTGTTACAGATTCCAACGGTGGATGCTCCAGTTTTAGCCTTAGCCTCACCATCCCCTGTCTTGGGCCCTCCTGAGGAATCCTTGCCCCCAGAGGATAGGAAAACTGAGCGCTCACTGATTAAGGGCCATCAGGCTTCGGCCTGGTCGGTGCAGGCGGCCTCTGCGGCATCGTTTTTTAACAGGGCGTCCATTCTCTGGTTAAAACAACTACAGAGCCGTCTTCCGGCTTCAGAGGTTCGAGCCCACCAAGATATAAATAAGATTATGGCCGCAGTCGAGTTCTCGGCTGACGCCACACTGAACGCTGCACGCTTTTCCGCCAAAGCGATTGGTTCGACCGTGACTTCTCGATGTTTATTGTGGTTGAAACACTGGCAGGCCGATGTACGGAATAAATGGCGCCTCGCATCATCTTCTTACGCTGGAGACAAGCTGTTTGGGGCTGCTCTGGATCCATTACTGATCGAGACTCGAGACCATCGCAAAGTTTTGCCAGCCCTATCTCAACGTTCAGATTTCAGACAAGTGCAGTCCTTTCGATCTTCCTCCTTTCGTTCCTCAGACACCGGCTCTTACCATCAGTGGTATCAGTGCTCCTATCCAACCAGGGGACCTGCCTTTCAGGATAATCAGGTTAGACAGGGACCCCATTATCCCCCTAGGAGATTCCCTCGGGGAGGTCGCGGCCGTCCCTTCCGGAGGGCTCGCTAATATGTCTAGTCCCCTTGCCCTTGGAGGTCATTTGTCCAGATTTGCCTCCATTTGGGAAGCCACAGTTTCCGATAATTGGGTTAAGAATGTAGTCAGATTTGGCCTCTCCCTCGAATTCAGATCTACCCCTCCTCATTTGTATTTACGTTGCCCTGTTTTCCTTGACAGGATTAAGAGGGCCCGGGTGGGAAATGCCATCAAACACCTCCTGGCTTCTAAGGCCATACAACCAGTACCTAAATCGGAATTCGGGAAAGGGTTTTACTCCCGCCTTTTTCTAGTCCAGAAGCCATCGGGGGATTGGCGTCCCATCCTGGATCTTAAAGCCTTGAACCGGCACTTAATTTATCGCCGGTTCAAGATGCATTCCCTTCAAACTATTTTAATGGCCATTAGGGAAGGGGATCTGTTATCTTCTATTGATTTGACGGAGGCCTATCTACATGTCCCCGTTCTTCCCGAATTCCGGCAATTCCTTCATTTTTCTTATCAAGAAAATCACTATCAATACAGGGCCCTACCCTTTGGTTTGTCCTCGGCCCCTAGGGTTTTTACTAAGGTCATGGCGGCCCTTATGGCCTACATTAGCGATCTCCCCATTAGAGTTTTATTTTACCTTGATGACATTTTGATATTGTCCCGCTCTCCTGATCACGCCCTGAAGGATTTAAGGGAGACTCTTAAGATATTGCAGGAGCATGGCTTTTCAGTTAATTGGAAGAAAAGCCATTTGTCTCCTTCAACCCGGATTCAGCATTTGGGGGCTGTAATTGACACGGTCACTTCAGAGGTCTTTTTGTCTCCTGAGTGTATTTCTAGTTTAATGGCCTTGGTAACCCGAGTATAGAACCAACGCTCATCCTCTGTCCTCACTTTGTCTTGCCTTCTCGGCAAAATGGTATCTACCTTCGGAATTGTGCCGTGGTCACGCCTGCACAGCAGGGACCTTCAGTGGTTCCTGCTATCATATCAGCGGTCATGCAAGGAAGCTTCAGCACGGCGTGTAATCCTTCCCACTCGGGTGCTTCGATCCCTGTCCTGGTGGACGTCAGCGGCCATATCCAAGGGCAGCCAGTTTCGCAAACCGCACCAAGTAACCCTGACTACAGATGCCAGCCTGTTGGGTTGGGGCGCCCACCTGGGGTCCCACCTGGCACAGGGTCAATGGTCCTTGCAAGCGGTCCATGAACATCAACGTCTTAGAGCTGCGAGCCGTCTTTCTAGCTCTTCAGAGTTTTCGTCATTTGGTCCAGGGTCGAGATGTCCTCGTCCTAACGGACAATGTCTCTGCAAAGGCCCATATCAACAGGCTTGGGGGCACCCAGTCTCAAGCCCTGATGAGGGAGGCTCTCAAACTGGGGACCTGGGCGGAACGCAACCTGAAGTCAATCAGAGCGGCACATATTTCCGGGGCAGAGAATCGAACAGCAGATTCTCTCAGCAGGGCTCCTGTCGACCAAGCAGAATGGAGCCTTCACCCAGACCTGTTTCTGGAACTGACGAGGCGGTTCGGCCTCCGCGCGGTGGACCTGTTTGCCTCCAGCTCGAATCACCAGCTACTCGGATTTACGAAGCTACCTGGCGGTCCTTCTCTCTCTGGTGTCGGAAATGCCATCTGTTGGCGCCAGCCGCTACAGTTAAAGAGGTGCTAGGATTCCTCCAAGAAGGGTTTGCCGCAGGTCTATCTCCCAATACCCTTCGGCGCCAGGTTGCAGCTTTGGCTTCGGTCCTTTCTTGTGGTTCAAGAGATTCGATTTCCACGCACCCCCTTATTCATCAATATTTGCGGGGTGCTACTAATCTCCGGCCACCTGCAATACATCGATTCCCATCGTGGGACCTGCCTAAGGTCCTAGGGGCCCTTACGAAGGCGCCCTTCGAACCCTTACGAGAAGTCTCTCTTCGCTTTCTGTCGTTGAAAGTGGCCTTCCTGCTGGTGGTCACTTCAGCTCGCCGTATATCGGAGATGGCAGCCTTGTCAGTTCGCAAGGAGCTCTGTATCATTTACCCGGACAGAGTGGTGCTACGCTTAGACCCTTCGTTTATCCCGAAGGTGAATACCATGTTCCATAGGGCCCAGGAATTAATTCTTCCTGATTTCTGTCCTCGCCCTCGCCATCATCGTGAACGACTCTGGCACAAGTTGGATGTCCGGCGCGCCATAAAGCTTTACATCAACCGTACGGTGGCCTTTCGACGCTCGGATTCCTTCTTCGTTTCATTCCTTCCGGCATCACTGGGTTCCAAGATATCGTCGGCCACCTTGGGACGGTGGATCCGAGCCTGTATTTCAACAGCCTACGACTCACAGTCTCTTCCTGTCCCTCGTGGAGTCACAGCACATTCCACCAGGAGCGCCGCGACTTCAGCCGCCTGGTCTACACGAGCATCAGTTGAGGAGATTTGCCGTGCCACCACATGGGCGTCACCTACATCCTTCATCAGGCATTATCGTCTGGATACTTACACCTCGGCTGACGCAGCCTTTGGGAGGAGGGTTCTTCAGGCGGTTCATAAGGTCTCCTAACTACGGGGCCGGCCATCTCCCTCCCGACACAGCTCAGGACTTTGGTATGTCCCATCCTGACTGCCGTGCCCGCCTTAGGAGAATGGGCGTTGGTTCTTACCTGATACGCCTCTTCTCTGGCAGGCAGGCACAGCAGTCAGCCCCACCCTTCTGGGCCGTCCCCGTGTGGTGGCTCCTCGGGGGAGGGGGGGTTTCCTTTCATTATGTCCTTTCTGTTTTTCTCTAGACACTCCAGTCTGCCATGATACTCTCGTCTCAAAACTGACAGCGGAAGCAAGGAGGCGGGGCTTCGCTGGTTTCAAGCAGACTCGGTCCTAACAACTCACTCCATGTCTCCACCCATCCTGACTGCCGTGCCCGCCTGCCAGAGAAGAGGCGTATCAGGTAAGAACCAACGCCCATTATCTTTACTTTGAGCCTTGTCATTCTCAAAAGGTACTATTTGAAATATGGCCTTTCACAGCGTTGCCACTTCATCCTAAATATAAATGCTATCAATCTCTTCAATCAAAATTCAGTATTTTTTCCTGCATATTTTGCCTTCTAAATTTTTTTGGCCAAGAATCTTCATGATCTGCAACTCCTTATCTGTGAAATAGGATTAATGACTCCCATTTCCCTACTTCCAGGACTGTTGAGAAAAAGAATATTTATAAGGCTTATGTATAGAAGAGTGGGATGAAAAGTAAAATAATTTGAACGATAAGTTCCAAGCAGATATTAAAATAATAAGGGAGGGGAAAGTGAAGTTTTTCTCCATGGCAACTTCAGTAGTGTTGCTTAGCACCGGGCTCTAAAATAACTATGTTACTCAGCAGTATCAACCCACACATATGCTAAATGGCACTTTATGATGTTGTATTGCAAAAGTGATAACTGGATGCCTGATATACGTTTCTGCTTCTCTGCCAAGGAACTGTGATGTGGCCTAGCTGAAAAGGCTGATGCTATGTGATAACATGTGTTCCCAGAGGGCACTGTTGTCTCTGGTGCACCAGTATAGTAATCAACCTGCCACTTGGTAGATAGCCAAGGCTGATAATTGTTTTAGTACTAAAAGAACTTTAAATCAAATCAAGTTCCCCTGAAAGCAACTATTTCTGATTTAGAGATTGATCTAGATCAGTTGTCTAGGGAATGACATTTATTGCAGTCATGAGAGTAAGATTTGAATTTTTATTTTTGCCTTGGTGTATATGTTCTGTATTATGTCAAATGATTCCTGATAGAACCATAAAAATTTAATCGAAGTACAAAAATTGTTTTATCAAGTATCTTTTTAAAAGTGCAGCCACCTGAAAATATTGCATTAACTTTACTATGTTTTTAAGAGAATTAAACAAAAGAATCATATTCTTTATACTTCTTATATAAAGTAAGGAAAACAAAGGAAAACATAGGATAGTGATACTGAGAGTTATATAAATGCACATAGAATCTCTAGAATGGTTTCCTAAATTTTTATTCTGTGGTCTTTAAATAATGGTGCAAGGAAACAGAATTGTTTAAAATAGAGTTAATTTATAGAGGGATTAGGTGAGCTTCCTTTTTAAATATGATCCCCTCAATCCAAGATTAAAAACATTGCCAGAAAGAAACTGGGATGAATGTTGGGAAGTTGAGGACCAGAAAAATGGGGCATTGTGCGAATTGCACCTCCAGAAATATCTGAAAATTCATGTGACTAGGATTTTACTAAGGCACATCTGCTGGATAATACTTTGTATATATTCTGGTGACAATAACTTTCTAATATTATAAACAGTGCATGTTCTCTGTCAAGCACGTATCACGGAGGCAGCCCATCCTGGATGAGTTACACAATTTGGGAGAGTTGCAGAAATGCTATACTAATTACTAGAGCAAAGGTAGGCAACTCCTTCAGCCTGGAGAATTATGAACTGTAGAAGAGCATGTACCTGCTTACAAGTACATTTGTACAGAAACTGATCTAAAGATGTACACATTTGCACTTTGATCATATGGCATGAAGAATTAAATGATGGTTTCAAAATATATTGCCAAGAAAAAGAGTTCCAATCTTCTCAAGAAGATTGTTGAAATTATGGATGATGTGAGAATTCTTCAAGAGTCAAGAAGTAGAATGCTTTGTGGTGAAAACAGTATAGAACTGTTAATTAAATCACTTCAGCAGTACCAAACCAGAACACAAATGGCTACTGCAGCTAATCCTCTTAGCACTTCCACTATATATTCCTTTTTGAAAAAAATAGAATCTGGATTCTAATTTAAAAGGGACAAACAGCTATTCCTTTAGCAATTACTGTACATGACATAATATGCTGCTGGTACCCGTAGTTGTTATTAAGTCATCAATAATTGCTTTGCCCAATTCATAATCAAAAAAATGATCCTTATTGTTTAATCTTTATTGTTGTAGAGCATTGCAACAGAATTTTAAAAGTCTATCAAGCTCTGTCCCATCTTATACTAAAGAAAATCAAGGCAGGTTTATTTTAAGTTTCCTTCTCATGCCTTCTCCTTTTCTAGGACTGAATTGTCTTTTATTTTTATTTATTTGTTCCTGCATGCTTTCTTCAACATCTATTTCCTTTGCTAGAAATGCTTTCAAGAATTTCAAGAAATCGAGAAAAATAGCTTTAAATATGGTATGTAGTACCAGTTCAACAGAATAAAGAGAGAAAAAAGCCTTTTAATGCTTTTCCTATTTGTTCCCATATGCAATATTCTATAGACCAGGAGTGTCAAACTCAATTTCATTGAGGGCGTGACAGGGTTATGTTTGACTTCGAAGGGCTGGGGGTGTGCCCATGGTGGGCGTGGCTATGGTGGGAATGGCATGGGACTTGGGGGCACCTGTGGTGGCAAAGTGCTAAGGCAGGACTTCCCTGAGACCCTCCCTCATTCTCATTATACAGGAAATCCTCAAGTGATGAATGTAATAGAGCCTGCCAATTACATTCGTAACTGAGGATTTGTTTGATTGAATCATGTTAAATGAACGTGATTGCTCCCTGCTTTCCCCAATGCATTGGTTAATCGAATGCACATGAGGTATCTCAGAGTGAGGAAGAGTATGTGTGGCCTAGTGCTGGAGCAGGCCATCCAAGGCCTCCCCCAGTCCACTAAGATACCTCATGCTCCCCTGGAGTCCCCACAATTGCTCCCACCCCCACAGACTGGGCCTGCTTTTCCAACATCCCAGATTCCACTAACTCCTCACCACCCCATTTCCCATGGATTACTTACTTTTTGAAGATCTCCAGAGCTCCAGAAGAGGCTGACCCACTGGCAAAGAAGCCAAAGGATTTTATTCAGATGATGGCAAAGCTGTAAAAACATGAAATCTAAGGAAAATGTTTTTACCAGCTTCTGAGTTAAAGACTTTGGCTGGGGCCATGTGGCCAGCAGGCCTAGGCCTGGACTGGTCCACAGCAGCCTCCTGCTTCAGGGATTGAGGCAGCAGCAGCAGCCAATCAACAAGGATTGGCTGTCTCATCTTCCTTTGTCTCATCAGGCTGAACTGCAAGCCCTTTGTTGATTAGCTGCCACGCCCCAATCCCTGAAGCTGCTCATTAAAACTAGCCAGTCAGCAGCAAGCAAGACTGGGCCCAAACTAAGCCGGCAGGCCCTCATGGCAGAGAAGCCGGTCTTTTATTCAGATGGAGAAAACTGTTTTCCTTACATCTCACCTTCTTACAGCTTCATGGGCTTCTGAATAAAAGACTTTGGCTTCTCTGCCATGTGGGTCAGCCTCTTCTGGAGCTCTTAGAAAAGTAAGTACAGTAAAGGCATGAGAAATGGGGTGGGGAGGGCGGAATCTGGCCCACGGAGGCTCTATTTCAGCCTGTAACAGGCCCAGGGAGGCCTCCGAAGGCTACATTTTGGCCTGTAACAGGCCCGGGGAGGCCTCCGGAGGCATGAATGGAGTCTTGGAGGGTTGGATTTGGCTCACGGAGGTACTGTTTTGGCCAGCAACGGGCTGGGGGAGGCCTCTGGAGGTCCCTGTGGCCCATTTTGGCCAGCAGAGTGCTACAGAAGGCTGTCCAGAGTGCTACAGGAGGCCGTCCAAAAATGGGCCGCGGGAGGGGGGAGCTAGCAGAGGCACCGTGGGCCGGTCGTTTACTATTACCAGGATGGCCCCGTGGGCCAAATCTAAGCACCCCGCGGGCTGCATCTGGCCCACAGGCCTTGAGTTTGACACCCCTGCTATAGATTATTGACCCATAAGCAAAGTATTGCTTGGCTATTAATCAATTCCCTCATGTGAACCTATTCTTGGATTGAAAAAAGAAGCTAAATGTTGATTGCCATATAAGATTGGCAAAAATTAAATTGTGTTTTTAATTATGTTATTTAAACATATTAGTGCAGTTCCCATGTTTGTGTTACATTTTATTGAAAAAGAGTCTATTTTGGAGACTCACTGTTTCAGTAACAAATTGGAAACTTTTTAAGATGCTAAAATACATTAATGATTGAATGTGATTATTAAAATTCATACTGAATTGGTGGTTTATTTTTTTCATTCAGTATTTGCACTAAGAAATTTAAAATGAGACTACATCTTGGCACCAGTTATGTTCATTCTATATATACCTGATGGATAATTAAAATGTCCAGTGTTCCTCTATACAGACAATATAGCCTTATTTTATTATGTTCATAGTTTTTAAAAAGCATTGTTCTAGATTATAAAATTATTGTTTTACTACTTTACAGATTTTAAGTATATTGAAGTATAAAGTCTTTGTTTTTTGTTCTGGCAAAATTAAGGAGTTTGAGCACTTGAATTGTCAGGTGCAAGAAATCAGGAGGCAGGATAGAGTTCAGAAATCACTGGAAGTTTATTCCATGGAACCTATACACAAGAATCTGATCTAATGGTTAAAACAAATTGGTGCCAGATAAAAGTCAACAGATTTCAAGGGGAGTGGACTTAGTATCTTTCGGGGGCATAGGTATTTCAGACTGATGATGTGTTTGACCCTACCCTTGGGCTCATCCTCTCCTACATGAATAGTACAATATACTTTAAAATGCTATCATGAAGTATTTGTGAGTTGGGTTGTGTGACAACATACTGTGATATACTGTAAATTTAGAGGGAATTAAATTACCTCTACTTGTTACTCATTGAAGGCCACAGAAAAACTAATACTATCCCAGAGATTCTCTACCTTTGCAACTTCAGCTACCAGAATTCCCCAGCCAGTATGGTGTGGTTGGAGAATTCTGGGGATTGAAGTCCGCACATCTTAAAGTGGCCAAGGTTGAAAAACATTGATCTGAAATATTAGTGTTTGTCAGAGTTTGTTGCAGCACATACAATCAGACACAATTAAATGAACTTCAGCAGGTTTCAAATTACATAAGAAACTTCTTTATATACAATACCATACAGGAGAATTCAGCATACAATATCAGGAACACAGAAGCAATATTCATAGAAGCAAGTCATTACAGAGTAGACAGATTCAGAGGCTAATTTATTGTACAGAAGCTGTCATTACAGAGGCCAAACCAACTCTTATATACAGTTCAGCAAGTCTAAGCCATGCCCAGACTCCAAACTGTCTCTTATGACAAACAAATATTATGTTTCAGTTTCCAAACAGTCCCCATTGGTTGACCTGTTGCCATGTCTGTTCCAGCTATGAATATTCATATTCTGACAGTGTTTAGTAGAATTACTGCTAAAAAAATTGTTTCCAAAATAGTGACTTAGCTGCTACAGGTGCAGGAATTTAAAATACACATCTAGATATTAACTTGCTACAATTAAAGAGTAAATTATGTATATCTTTTCAGTAAAACCATCCAGCATAGTAGATGTACTGCTTAGCATAAGTGGGTGTCCTATTTTAAAAGCTTCTATCCACCTTTAAAAACATATGCATCCTTTTGCATTAGGTAAAAATGTTAAGACCAAATCAACCTCTAGCAACTTTTTATTTTTTACGTTTTGCAGAATAGTTATGTACCTCTTCTGGCTAAACTGCATTCTATTACATATCTCATTATTTGGGGTATCAGTCTTCGTGCTCAGGTATTTCCTGGGCTTACAATGGTGCAGTTCTCACATTTAAATGCAAATTCACATATATTTTTCCAAAAAAATTAAGCAAAATGGCTGCTTCACAGAAAAAAAAATAATGGTGCTCAAAGAAACTTCTGTAAGATGTATCTAGTAAAAAAAATTACAACTACCCTCCAAATCAGTAAATGCATATTGACTGAAATGAAACAAATCTGATGAATGTGCAGTCAAAATTTAAATAAAAAAATACAGTAAAACATACCTCTTGACCTCCCCTCAAAAAGTGCAAACAAATTCATGTCCCTTTATTGTACAGAGGCATAAAAAGAATGAAAATTCACATTCTATTCCAGAGATGGCTAACCTTTTCCGGACCGAGTGTCCAAAGCATGCATGCGCTCATTCGCTCAAACCCCCAAAATGCAATGCATTCATGGCCCCCATGCATACGTGCGTGCCCCTGTGCATGCCCCTGCCCCCCATGTGCCCTGCCCCCACGCATGCGTGTGCCCCCTGTATGCGCCCCACCCCTACACATGCCCCACATGCGTGTGCATTCCCCTTGAGCGCACCCCACCCCCACATGCCTGTGTGTGCCCCACCCCCACATGCATGCACGTGCCCCCCACTCCCCCAACCCCCATGCATGTACATGTTTGTGGCAGAGACCCGACAACCAGCTGGACGGCGGGAAGCACACGTGCATGCGCAGCAGGGCTGAACTGGGGCAATGACTCACGTGCCCACAGAGAGGGCACTGTGTGCTACCTGTGGCACGCATGCCATAGGATCGCCATCACAGTTCTATACTGTATACATTCTATATCACTCTTTGGGACTCTTTTGTCCCAAATTCCCTGATAATTTAAATAAAACTACAAATAATTTCAGAAACTTCTTCCCTTATCCCAGGCACTCTTTGCACTCATCTAGTAAGAGACAATGTAATTGTTCTGTCATTATTTGAAAACCCTCTTCAGCACTACCTCCAAAGACAGTTTCTGTAGATTGGTTTGATTTGTGTCTTTAAATAATTTTTTTTCAGATGATAATTAGTTAAGTATAACTTGGTGGCAAAGCCATTAAAAATGCCAATCTGTATAATGCTGTGCTTCAAGCTCTAAAATTATATTAAAAAGTCCTTAATTGTAAGTTGCTTGAGATCTGTTTTCAATACTGAATATAATCTTTCTCCTTTCTCCTTATCCCAAGCTCAACAAGCATTGAATGAAGAAATAGGAAAACTATTGAGAAAGATTTCTTCCTAGTGACTCCAAACAGCATATCTAGGGGTGAAATCCAGCAAGTTCTGACAGGTTCTGTCAGAATCTGACAGGTAGCGGATATTTTGAGCAGTTCAGAGAACTGGCAAATACCACCTCTGGCTGGCCCCAGAATGGGGTGGGAATGGAGATTTTGCAGTTTCCTTCCCCCAGGAGTGGGGAGGGAATGGGGATTTTGCAGTATCCTTCCCCTGCCACGCCCACCAAGCCATGCCCACAGAACTGATAATAAATAAAAATTGGATTTCACCACTGAGCACATCCTATAGGCACATCCCATAATTCTGCTGGATAGACTCTAGGCCATAACCACCTTCCTTTGATGTCTCATAAAGAAAATCTTAAAGTAAGCATGCAAAATTGCACATGCAGAATTTTGCTTCTTGTGCTGCTCTCTAATTTGTTCTTTTTCAATAGAACTTTTAAACAGACCCAATTTTCTGTGTCTGTTGAATGTACCTCAGTAATGTTTAGGGTTGAGGAAAAAACAGTGAGAATATGAAAGCAGTTTTAGCTAGCTGGTGTGACTCATATAACATAAGTTCCATATGTTCGTTCTGAAATAAAGGAAATTAATCTTATTACTATCTCAAGCTGAAATTTGGAGCCAGTAACACATTATGACTTTGGTACAGCAGTTTAGAGCTCACTGCTAGCTTGTATACAACATATATTCTATATTGTCTATTGATAATACAGTAGCGTCTGTCAGTATTATTGCTGTATATTTGTATTATTCATCAGGGGCTCTTTCATTGATTATTTGACATAAGGAAAACCTATTGCAATAAATCAGAGAGTAGGAAATGTGTAGTGCACACGATATATGTCACCCTAACGCCTACTTAGCATGCTTTGGCCACCTATGAATTGTGTTGCCAACATTTGTCAGCAAAAATACTGATATCTGGTTATGTGCTTTTTTTCCAAAAAGAACAGCAAATCAGGAGTGTTAAGCTTCTGCTGTAAATCATCCAGAATTATTCATAAAGGATTGGATGTTACATTTCGAATCAGTGAACACCTAGAAGCAAACAAAGTAATAACCAAAAGCCAACATGTGTTTGTCAAAAACAGATCATGCCAGAGTAATC